GTAGATAGCACGATCACCTAACAGCAAGAAGGTCGCTGGTTCGTGCCTCAGCTGTGTCAGTTGTTGTTTCTGTGTGGAGTTTGCATGTTCTCCTCGTGTTGGTGTGGGTTTCCTCCGGGTGCTCCGGTTTCCCCCACAGTCCAAACACATGCACTATAGGGGAATTGATCAGCTAAACTGGCCGTAGTGTATGAGTGTGTGTGTAGGTGTGTGTGTGTGTGTGTGTGAATGAGTGTGTATGGGTGTTTCCCAGTGATAGGTTGCAGCTGGAAGGGCATCCACTGTGTAAAATATATGCTGGAATGTTGGTGGTTCATTCCGCTGTGGCAGCCCCTGATAATGAAGGGACTAAGCCGAAAATGAAAATAAATGAAAGTGTGTGAGCACCTCCAGATATTGGTCTGGCTCCTCTTCATCCCTCTTCACTTGTTTGGCACTGGCTGATCTCTAGAAAACACATTCAGAGTCTCGTTAGTATGTATGTGTGTGAACAGTAAACCGTAGACGTCTGTAAACTCCAGCAGTCCTAAAAGAAGCTGTGTCTGTGTGTGTGTGTGTGTGTGTGTGTGTGTGTGTGATCATATCTAAACTTGCTAATGATAAATGAATTCAGACACAACAAAAACACACATTCTGCCACTCGGATAAACCAACAGCAGATCTGAATGACACACACACTCAAACTTATACATGCTCACTCAAACAATCACACACTCTTAAACACATACAACTAGGCATGCATTGATATCATTTTTTTGAAACCGATTCGATCCTGATACCAAAACTCAGTTTCGAACGATACAGATCCGATCCCAATACTGTGCCTTTTTTAAAAGCATTATACAGTTTCTATAGTTCTTGTGATAAACTCAAATCATACCTTCTTTAGTCAAAATAAGACACCTATAAGCCTAATGTGTATGACCTGCGACACAATCGAATAAAAACATGATGCTTGCTATAAACTATAGGCTACATTATTTGAGCATGCGTGATGACATTGATCTGTTGTGTCCAGCTCATGATTCCTTCTTTACTATTAAGATTTGTCTTTGAAATCTTTAGGTTACCGCTATTGACCCTCATCAAAACAATAAAATGTAAATATGAATAAAACGACAGTAAAATATTCAGTTTCAGAGGAGCCTATATTAGACTAAATCATTTTCTGTTAATGACCATCCATATTGCGCTTTTCAGTTTTACTTTAATTAATTTAATCAGCTACTTTGACCACAATGAGCCTGGCTTTACAAACTATTCACAGCACTGAAAGCATTCCCCTCGAAAGAGTAAATCCAGTCGGGAGGATGAGAGAACAGAAACAGCAGATTACAGAACCATTTAACGGAGCGCCGCACATTGCGTATCAGGATTGGTGCATCCCTACATACAACACACACTCAAATACATGCATGAAAGACCAAAGGATGAAGACAAAACGCATGAATACACAAGACAAAAGAAAAAAACTTCAATATTATGATGATTTAAACATTTCGGGACAAATTGTCAAACTGTAAACTCAAAATTACAAAAGAAAAAAGTTTAAGAAAGATACATTTAATTATGTACATGTACATTTATATATTCGTTTATATATTTGTTTATTTCATACATTCATTTATATATTCGGTTATGTCATATATTTGTTTATATATTCATTTATTTCATAAATTTGTTTATTTCATATATTTGTTTATAGATTCGCTTATTTCATATATTCCTTTATTTCATACATTCATTAATATAATCGTTTACATTTTCTTTTATTTCATATGTTTCTTTTGTTTCATATATTTGTTTACATATATGCGTTTATTTCATATATTTGTTTATTTTATATATGCGTTTATTTCATATATTCATTTATAAATTTGTTTATTTCATATATTCATTT